TCAACTTTGCATTTCCTTCGTAAAGTCGATTTTTATGTCTATCTATAGAGTCGTGCATCAATGAAATTTTTAATTATTGGTATTTTTAAAAAATCAAATAGTACATCTTATAGAACTTTTGGGGTGCTATCCAGAACTCTAACCAGAACTGTTTTTCAACATTGCATTTTCTTCGTAAAGTCGATTTTTATGTCTATCTATAGAGTGGTACATCAATGAAATGTTAAATTATTGGTATTTTTAAAAAATCAAATAGTACATCTTATAGAACTTTTGGGGTGCTATCCAGAACTCTAACCAGAACTGTTTTTCAACATTGCATTTCCTTCGTAAAGTCGATTTTTATGTCTATCTATAGAGTCGTGCATCAATGAAATTTTTAATTATTGGTATTTTTAAAAATTCAAATAGTACATCTTATAGAACTTTTGGGGTGCTATTCAGAACTCTAACCAGAACTGTTTTTCAACATTGCATTTCCTTCGTAAAGTCGATTTTTATGTCTATCTATAGAGTCGTGGATGAATGAAATTTTTAATTATTGGTATTTTAAAAAAATCAAATAGTACATCTTATAGAACTTTTGGGGTGCTATCCAGAACTCTAACCAGAACTGTTTTTCAACATTGCATTTCCTTCGTAAAGTCGATTTTTATGTCTATCTATAGAGTCGTGGATCAATGAAATTTTTAATTATTGGTATTTTTAAAAAATCAAATAGTACATCTTATAGAACTTTTGGGGTGCTATTCAGAACTCTAACCAGAACTGTTTTTCAACATTGCATTTCCTTCGTATAGTCGATTTTTTATGTCTATCTATAGAGTCGTGGATCAATGAAATTTTTAATTATTGGTATTTTAAAAATTCAAATAGTACATCTTATAGAACTTTTGGGGTGCTATTCAGAACTCTAACCAGAACTGTTTTTCAACTTTGCATTTCCTTCGTAAAGTCGACATTTATGTCTATCTATAGAGTCGTGCATCAATGAAATTTTTTATTATTGGTATTTTTAAAAATTCAAATAGTACATCTTATAGAACTTTTGGGGTGCTATTCAGAACTCTAACCAGAACTGTTTTTCAACATTGCATTTCCTTCGTAAAGTCGATTTTTATGTCTATCTATAGAGTCGTGCATCAATGAAATTTTTAATTATTGGTATTTTTAAAAAATCAAATAGTACATCTTATAGAACTTTTTGGGGTGCTATCCAGAACTCTAACCAGAACTGTTTTTCAACATTGCATTTTCTTCGTAAAGTCGATTTTTATGTCTATCTATAGAGTCGTACATCAATGAAATGTTTAATTATTGGTATTTTTAAAAATTCAAATAGTACATCTTATAGAACTTTTGGGGTGCTATTCAGAACTCTAACCAGAACTGTTTTTCAACATTGCATTTCCTTCGTAAACTCGATTTTCATGTCTATCTATAGAGTCGTGCATCAATGAAATTTTTAATTATTGGTATTTTTTAAAAATCAAATAGTACATCTTATAGAACTTTTGGGGTGCTATTCAGAACTCTATTCAGAACTATTTTTTAAATCATTTTTTACCTAGAAAATCGATTTAAACTGCGCAGGCTGCCGTTTTATTTTTGTTCATAACTTGGTTAATACAATAGAACTATTTTGATCAATAGTCAGGAACTATAGAACTCTTGTTCTAGAATATATTTCCACTATCAGAACTGTTCCAGAATAAAAATAGGGTGCTACGTGAAGTTGGCACCCCCATGTCATATCTCCCGAAATTAACCAGAACTATTTTTCTAACTTATCAAGAACTATAGAACTATTGTAAATCTATCCAGAACTCTCAAATTCCAGTTCATTTTTTGAAAAAAGGGTGCCAACTTCACACGAGTATCAACGAAGGCGAATTCGACAAAATACCAAGAGATAACTTTTAATTGGCATTTAAACAACCTACACAATTTTTATATCAAAAGAGAAAAAGTCAGTGGCGCACAAGCTTTTTTTTTGAAAAATGCTCCTTCCAGTGATAACCCATATCCACGTCCCTGATGAATTTATTGACACTTTTTTAGCATTTCATTCGAATCAGTAAAAGTACTAATAGAAAGTATAGAAAATAGTATAGAAAATTATAATAATTCGAAAAAATATTAAGATTTTAATACCCTGTAGCTACAAAACAAAGCAGAATCGGACCTACATACATATATGTTGATGTGAAAAATAAATCTTATTTTTACCTGAGGAATTTCCCCACGAGAGATGGCACATGCTCTTTGAAACACCCTGTATAATACGTATATTTATTTAGATACCTATACAAATCTTTAACCGGTTCAGTACTGTGTTAAAAAAGTAGTTTATTTTTATAGGTCTATAAATTCTTAATAACGTACAAATATTTTTGCTCTTTGAAAATTATACTATTAATAATTTTTAATATAATTTTGAGATATTCTTTTAAAACTATAATTAAAAAAAAACTAAAATAAAGATATTAATACAGGGTCGCCCATTAGAGCAAGGAACTCCAATATCGCTGTTGTTGACAAATATATGAAAACAGTTTTATACAGATATTGCATGGTTTATAATGGTGCATATCTCTCTAGAAGTATTTCGTTGTATACAGGGTGTCCCAAAAAAGTTAGGATAAAGTTTTAAGTTTTTTAAATTGCACCCCCAATTTTTCTACACATAATTGGATTCAGCAAAAAAATTTGCATATGCACTATTTTTATGCACTATGCGGTGGTATGTGGTGGTCATTCTATTTCTTATTTACTAAAACATTGGTTAAAAACACAGAAATCACTATATCCAAAAAGTGGTTAAAAACTGGAGTGAATATAAGTTTTTTAATACTATATTTTCCTAAACACCAAGAATAACAGAATAAATCCTCGAAGGAAAATTTATATTATACTATACGGGGTATCATATTATATAAAATGCTACACCGGGTGCTTCTGGAAAATGGCTCACTCTTATAACTTTTGTATATTTTCAGATACAAAAATGAGATTTGGAGTGTTAGTATATGAAATAAATTAGGATTGATTGACGTATTAAATTGTTTTTGGTCACTTCCTGTTTCACCGGAAATGACTACAACTTTTGAATTTTAAATGGTACCTTTGGTATTTTTTTACTTTATTCGATAGAAAATGACACTCCTATGTCAACTTTTAACATTTTCGCTTTAAAAAAAATTGTATTTTAAATTTCAATACAGAGTGCCATTGGTAAAAACACTAATTTTTATTCAAGGAGCCTTGGAAAATAGATTTGATCGTCTAATGTTTTTCGTGTCTTGTTCTGACCGGTTAAAAGATGCTCAAATCGTATTTTTAATCATATCTCAGTTATTTCAAATGGAACAAGGGTGGCTCATTAGCATATCTGGGAAAAGTATTTTTTTACGAATAATTTGGTACCACACACTTGGTGTTTCGAGTCAAGTTATCGTTATGAACCGCACGTTACAACATCAAATAAACCATATGCGAAATGTCAGAAGTTGACATATGATATGTCATTCTATTCAGAGTGTCATTTTCTATCAAATACAGTACAAATATACCGACAATGCCATTTAAAAATCAAAAGTTGTAGTAATTTCCGATGAAACAGGAAGTTACCAAAAACAATTGAATACGTCAATCAATCTTAATTTACGTCATATACTAACACACCAAATCTCGTTTTTTATCTGAAAAAATAAAAAAAGTTATAGGGGTGAGCCACTTTCGAGATGCACCCATGGTATGTTTATTTTTTTAAATGCAACACCCTGGTATATTATTTTTCGTTTATATGAAGAATTATACAATGAACATTTTTTATATTTAAAGTAATAATGAAAGTCCTAAATTTTTAGCAGTTTTACAGATATTCGCATACATATAAAATACCAGACAAAGATAATTACATACGAGTAGAGGTGACTTAAATTTACTGTTGAAAGAGTGTTGATATACGCAGTGAGTCTTAAATAAGTGCAAATATTTTCAGGGCTGGTACTGGTAGATCTCGACAAAAGAATTGAAATATTTTTCAAATAAGTCCAAAATAACCGGGTTATTAAAGTTTGAAAATTTTAAAAAAATGATTTTTTTGGAAAAATTCTAAGAGACACCGGATTTTTTCTGTATTTGCATCCCTTTTAGTGCCGTAACCATAGAGTATAGCTGTAAATGCTGTAACTATAATTATGGTAATATCAGAGGTTAAGAAATTATACAGTGGAAAAATGTGCGGTGAACAGGCAGTTCTAAAAAGTTTTCGAAAAATATACAGGGAAATTTAAAAAAAATGCACGATTTTCGATATCTTTTTTTTGCGAAAAAAAAACGCATAGACGTGTTCATCGGGTCGAAATATACCAGCCCTGAAAATATTTGATATAGATATTTGCATTTATTTAAGACTCACCCTGTATAATATAATACCGCCAATATCTGAAAACCCGTTAAAAATTTAGATAACACTTTAATACAAAAAATGTTCACTTTTTAATTCTGAATCTAAGAGAAAATAATATACAGGATGCCGTATTTAAAAAAAATGAGGTATAGCATTTTAAATATTGCGATGGCCATAAAAATTACCTTGTATAAGACATGGTGAATTTTCCTTCGCGAGTTCATTCTGTTATTCTTGGTGTTTAGAAAAATATAGCTCAGTATCATTTAAAGTTAAATGAACTCTAGTTTTTAACCACATTTCAGTGTTTTTAACGAAAGTTTCAGTAAATATGATATAGACTGACAACACTGCTTAGTGCTGGAACGACGACAGTATTGGACTTCCTCGCACTAATGGGCCACCCTGTATATGTACAAAAATTGACGAAATACTAGATTTCCTATAATATGTAATTAATTACTACTAGTGACACATGATATAAAAAAAGTAACAAAAAACACGTATCATTTTGTTAAAATATTGCCAAATATAGTTTTTATTTGTAATTTATCAACAAAAATAAGTATTAAAAAATGTATTTCAGATAGAACATGGGGGAAGAAGGTCACAAGTCGAAGGCCAAAATGCTACCAAACCTAACCATCTTGAACCATGTCAGGTTAGGTACACAAGGTAATTATTATATTTTTATTAGAGTTTTGACTTAAGAGTCCATTTCATTAGTCCTGAAAAAGTAAGAAAATAAGCGTTCGGCATTTAACGTTTTATGTAAAACTGGCTAGGTTTTTTTACACAAATGAAGAAGGAAATTAAAGACAAAGGATTATACTATATCTGTATAGTAGCACATTTTTAGACAACTTTTTTATTTATAAGATTTTGATGGTCAATAATCAACAAAATATTCTTTATGTTTAGACTAAATTTTCTCGAAAATAAAGACATATTTTAAAATTCCGTTACAATACGAAAATAGATTGAAGTTTTGTGGTTACAGTGATACATAATTTATATGGTTTTGTATCAATTTGCACGCTATTTTATGGCAAATGCTGAAGCTCTGCAAACCTTAATAAAGCCTTAATCAAAGCACATGTGAGTGGAATTTTGGGTGTGACTTAACACGACAGGATCGGGCTAAGCCTTAGGCAGATTTCTGAAATATAATATATTTTTCCTTCGGCCACACACCCGCTTACCGCTTAACCCATTAGAGCGACCCGAAAGTACAGCGTATAGAAAGTATAGAAAATAGTATAGAAAATTATAATAAATCGAAAAAATATTAAGATTTTAATACCCTGTAGCTACAAAACAAAGCAGAATCGGACCTACATATATGTTGATGTGAAAAATAAATCTTATTTTTACCTGAGGAATTTCCTCACGAGAGATGGCACATGCTCTTTGAAACACCCTGTATAATACGTATATTTATTTAGATACCTATACAAATCTCTAACCGGTTCAGTACTGTGTTAAAAAAGTAGTTTATTTTTATAGGTCTATAAATTCTTAATAACGTACAAATATTTTTGCTCTTTGAAAATTATACTATTAATAATTTTTAATATAATTTTGAGACATTCTTTTAAAACTATAATTAAAAAAAACTAAAATAAAGATATTAATACAGGGTCGCCCATTAGAGCAAGGAACTCCAATATCGCTGTTGCTGACAAATATATGAAAAGAGTTTTATACAGATATTGCATGGTTTATAATGGTGCATATCTCTCTTGAAGTATTTCGTTGTATACAGGGTGTCCCAAAAAAATTAGGATAAAGTTTTAAGTTTTTTAAATTGCACCCCCAATTTTTCTACACATAATTGGATTCAGCAAAAAAATTTGCATATACACTATTTTTATGCACTATGCGGTGGTATGTGGTGGTCATTCTATTTCTTATATAGTAGCACATTATTAGACAACTTTTTTATTTATAAGATTTTGATGGTCAATAATCAACAAAATATTCTTTATGTTTAGACTAAATTTTCTCGAAAATAAAGACATATTTTAAAATTCCGTTACAATACGAAAATAGATTGAAGTTTTGTGGTTACAGTGATACATAATTTATATGGTTTTGTATCAATTTGCACGCTATTTTATGGCAAATGCTGAAGCTCTGCAAACCTTAATAAAGCCTTAATCAAAGCACATGTGAGTGGAATTTTGGGTGTGACTTAACACGACAGGATCGGGCTAAGCCTTAGGCAGATTTCTGAAATATAATATATTTTTCCTTCGGCCACACACCCGCTTACCGCTTAACCCATTAGAGCGACCCGAAAGTACAGCGTATAGACTCTCTATACCGAGTGTTGCATCGTCGAGCGGGACATAGGAAATCTCATGTAAATTTTAATGGGGTCAATTATTGAATTCCCTAATTATTTTAGAGAATAATTCTATTTAGGTTTATTGAAGAGCACTAAAACCCACATTCAAAAGAATAACTTTAGATATCTTTGATTAGCCCATTTAAGAGTTATCGCCGATTTCTTTTTAAATATTTCTCCATTCTTATGGCCCTGTATTTACTTATGCCTACTTTTCTAGGTGCCCGGTGGCATAGAGGTACAGGCTCTCGTCTACCAATCTCAAGGTAGTGGGTTCGATTCCCACACCCGGCATTCCATCAGCCGACTATTTTTATTAAAATAAAAATACGTTTGGGTACCTAGGTCGACTCAGCCTTAAATGAGTACTTGGGATTCACAATCCTGAGGTAATAATAGGCGGTTGAAGCTTAGTGCTAGCCACATTACCCTCCTTGTATACCGAACGGCTCTAGTATGGCAAACTGTACCTTGCTACTCCCAAGTCGTTAAACGCTATATACGGAAGCTATTATTATTATTTACTTATGAGCACCAGTCAAGGTAAAAGATAAGTGTCAAATGAAGTTGTCATTTCAGAAAGTTATCTATTTAGTGCATATTTAGTGTTTTATTATTATTATTAAAAACTCATACCTACATCGAAAATATTAGCCATGAATTACATTACCGAAGAAAAAGTATTGATGATTGAATGGTATTATCAAGGAAATAGTTATCAAAATGTGTCGGACATGTTTGCTGCTCTGTATCCGAATAGACCGATACCTGGAAAATCTACAATCGCAAGGAATATCCAGAGATTTGAGACCAAAGGTACCCTAATAAATAACTGCAGATGTGAAGCAAGGCAGGAACAAAGAGAAGATGAAAGAAATGATATCGACTTGGAAGTTTTATTGTGCGTGGAAGAGAACGATGGAAAGATCAGCACAAGGAAACTCGAGGATGAAATAGGAATAGATCACTCTACAGCGTTTCGAATTTTGAAACGACATAAATACTATTCCTTCAAATATGAAAAGCACCAAGAGCTACGAGATGGGGTCGAAATACGGCGGCAGGCATTTTGTTTTGATATGATGGAAAGAGCAAACATGGATAGGGAATTTTTAAAAAACATATGTTTCACTGACGAATGCACGTTTACCTTAAATAATGAACCCAATGTTCAAAATTATCGATATTGCAACAAAGAAAACCAAAACAGGTTTGTCGAAACAAGGACGCAATATTCACAGAAAGTAGTAAGTAAATGTTAGGGCAGGGATATTCGGACACAATATTATCGGGCCATTATTTCTTACGCGAAATTTAAATGCAGAATATTATTTGGAACCACTCGAAAATCATATTTTACCTGCTTTACAGGATGCCGCTAGGGAAAATCAGGAAGTTTGGTACCAAATGGATGGCTGCCCGGCACATTGGCTGTTCGGGAATATTTAGACAATAGTTTTAACGGAAACGTTATTGGCCTAAATCATACAGTAGATTGGCCAGCAAGGTCTCCTGATATTTCGCCAAATGATTTCTTTCTCTGAGGCCATTTAAAAAACAGGATATACAAGGATAAAAAATACCCAAATCTAGACGAGTTAAAAAATGCTATTTCTGCCGAATGTAATAGAATTTCAGTTTACCAACTAGCGAATGTAAGAAGAGAATTTTATGATCGCCTGGGTTATTGTCTAGCAGTCGATGGAGGAATATTTGAACATCTTCTTAAATCCTAAAGTTCTAACAATTTAATAGTACCTAAATTAATAAGTTATTGAATATTATAATAATACTATATAATTAACATTGTAATTCATTACTTTATTTTACTTTAATTCATATTAATTTATATTTATAAATACATCTTTAAGATTTCCGATGTAGGAACGAGTTTTCAATAATAATAAAGCAGTAAATAGGTAAATTTCTGAAATGACAACTTCATTTGACAGTTATCTTTTACCTTGACTGGTGCTCATAAGTAAATACAGGGCCATAAGAAAGGAGAAATATTTAAAAAGAAATCGGCGAAAACTCGTAAACGGGCTAATCAAAAATATCTAAAGTTATTCTTTTTCCCCCTATCTTGCGTTATAACTCATCATCTAATCTCAAGGCTATGACAAAAGTCAGTAAGTATCTGGGACGGTTTTATAGAGGTTAGTTCTCCATCTCCAATATCAAGCGTACCAAAGCACAGCTTAAGTAAAAAACAGCTCGGACAGTGTAGCGTGCCGCCTTGATCTTTTTACGGTCGGATTTGCGATTCGAAAGAGGGAGAACACTAGAGCGGCGAACTCTCTCGCCACAACCAATAGCCGCGTAAGCGGCAGTCAGCCCAGAGATGTATTAAAAAAAATTACACGTGACGTAAAAAATTATTCGACTGGTGCTAGAACATAATTTAGATACACGTTTTTTAAATTGTTGACTTTAAATAAATATGCATTCTCAAAGAAAAACATTTAAAAAACAAATTAATTAATTTATTTCTAGAAATAACAGCAAAATGAAATAGGTACATTGATTACTTATAGTTATTTACGAATGTTTTCAAATTAGGAGCTTTCGGTTTTTGTTTGCTACATTTAAGTTCTTATTAATATTCTTTAAGGTATTAATAAATTAACTTTGCGTATAATTTTAACAAAAAATACATTATAGGAAAATTTTGACAAGGATGGTTGAATTTAATTGTCTGAAATAATTTAACGAATTTACATAATATATTTTCATTTAAGGAAAGTTCTTCAAAATTGTTCTGATAAATTTTATAAAAAAACTTTTTTAAAAACAAGTTTTTATTTAAATACACTAAAAAGAATAAAATAAACTTTTTCTTTAAAACTTTTATTTTGAACTTATAACGTCATTACACAATTTTAATATTAATATATAAAAGCTTGCCGCGAGATTTGAGTGTACAGATGCACTCATAAAAATCTGGTACGACAACTTTATCTTGTAATTCCTGGTCTAGTGGTCTATCATAACACAAACTTTGAAAATTAGACAGGGTAGACACAGGTTTTAGTTAATTTACTTGTTTATCGATGTAGAGAAATCTCGCGACAAGCTTTTATATAATATTAAAATTGTGTAATGGCGTTATAAGTTCATAATAAAAGTTTTAAAGAAAAAGTTTATTTTATTCTTTTTAGTGTATTTAAATTTAAATAAAAGCTTGTTTTTAAAAAAAGTCTTTTTTATAAAATTTATATTCTACTTTTTAGTTATGCTGGTTTCTCAGTGCCACACATTTAAACTCAATTTTTTTCTTAAATAACTTTCTATGGGCATCCTAATAATATGTATATCGATTTTC